TTGAATAGGTAAAAATCGAAGATCCAAAACACGTGCAAGCAAATGAACATTCAAAATGGCCGAGCTTGTCGGCRTAAGTGAGAGACATGAGTGCCAACATAACGCCACAAAAAATTCGAAATTCRAATATACGTAACCCGCGAAAATTCAAAATTCGCAATACTTTTTGAACACAGCTCGTATCTAAGAAAATAGTGGCTAGATCAACCTCAAAATTTCGGGGAATATTTAAAAATATATGCACATTCGATATGTACTTAAATAAAATAATATTTTTTGTAATTGACAACTGGTTATAACCCATTAAAACAACAATAAAGTACTGCACGTGTATGCAACTAACCAAAAGTAGAATATACATACTTCGGTGATGCTTTAAAGCCCTAAAAAGTGTGTTCAAACAATGAAACATTAAACTAATACAAACAAAAAAAATATGTGTCGAAATTTTTATAGTAACAAATTTTATTTTATTCTTACAAAAAATAATGTTAAATATATTCAATAAATATACATCTAAACCAAAATAGCTTATGTATATTATATACTATACTTGAACCATACAACATACAATAAATATACAAGAACAAGACTTACATTGCTATAGCGTCCATTAAATGGCACATCATTTGCTCTGAAGCAACGATCCACTTAAATCAAAGGCAGAATTCAACAATAGACTCACTTAATCTCTCAAACAATGACGCCGCATAAATCAATCCTCACTAGCAAACGTAATTAAACTGGTTGCTTTCATTATACCTTCTGAAAAATAACAACAAAACGAAAGTAGACAACCAAAAAAGTTACTAACGAAAAGCTAACTAACTGTCCATAACTCTATGTACATACATACATAACATTTATATAAGAAAGTAAATACGTGAGAATACCGTTATCGCATAAAAAAATGCACTAAGGCAATTAGCACACACGAACACAGAATCGATTCCACGAATAATTGGTCACCACCCACAATTCACGATGCGCACGCGTCGCTCTCGCGCACAGCTGCAGCTCTTGCGCTGCTCATCAAGCGCCAGCAACTCGCAGTTGCTGCTCTCCCGCGCTGAACTACATACATTCAAATCTCAGGCACCCGCTCTCAATTCAGCTGAATGGCCCAAGTTGACTCAGCGGCCGAGCTTGTCACCGGTGCCGGTCCAGTTGTGTTAGATGCGGCCACACGACGCACACAAACGCTATGATTCATCAGCGCTGACCAGTTCGACGACGATAGCACGTTTTATAGTTTAAGCTCAGCTGCGCGGCCACTTGTTGTTGCTGTTCCTTTGCCGACACTTGTAGACGTAGGTTAGTTATGTGAACAGCTGATTGGTATGCGCCAACGAAGGCGTCGCGCGGCTCGCATATGTACGTTCGGCTTTTGTGGGTGTTGGTGTTGTGAGTTGTTAGCGTTTTTGTTGTAGTTGTAGTTGCAGTTGACAATGTTTCGATTGTGCTCAAGTGCAAAGTATCCAGGTTTTTTTCACTTTAATTGCAATTTGTGCAGTTTTTTAATAAAATCTATACAAAATATTTTATAACTGTAAAGCTCAGCTATTCCAGCGAAAGTGTGATCAACCGAGGCAAAGAAAAGTCGGTGTCGTTATACCGGGAATATCAGGGTAAATATTAATTTAAATGATTTTGCAGTAATTATTTGACCCGCGCTCAGGGCTTGGTTCTGGGGGGTTTTTCAAATGCTTACATTGAAAAACACTGCAAAAATGCACTGAAACTTTTAATAGAAATGCTGATTGATTATACAAATATTATGCATTTGCATACGGGTGCTAATTGTGCTTATACCTTAGGTGGGGTAAACGATTAAGGTTTTCGCTTGCAATGCTTGGGTTTTCTACAGGCGCCTGCTTACCTTTTTAGTTTTATGCATGTATGTGAGTTGTATTTGAAGTATTCAATGTTTAAGTTAGAATTCTGAGGCCGATGACATCGGAATTTCAAATCCGGTGCACTGACTAAACAGTTTCTAATGTTTAAGCGGTGAATCATCTATGTAACCACTCCAGACACTTTCTTGAGAACAATTTAGGGAATTCCAAAGATGCGTGTTATAAATTATGTTCTTTGATAAAATTTATGTAATAATCATAACTTTAGAATATCATTATATTCCGCTTATATTTTTTATTGCTTGTTAAGGGATGACATATTGACATTTTTAAGTCAAAAGTCTGATTTTGTAAATTACCCAGAGCTTATAAAAGGGCATTTCTTTATTTTGTATAGGCAATTAAATTGGTGCTGATATCATAGTTAAAAAATTAATTGCTTCCACAACCATTATTTCGCAAATGGGGAATTTATTTCCACTCACAAACCTTCTATTTCAAGAAAGTATCACTTCTCTCTTGAAGACTAGTAAATGGTAAGCTAATCGATATATTTTTATTATTTTAAACTATGTACTTTTAAAATACATACATATGTATATACAGGAATATTCGAAATAATAATAACATAGAAATCCATGAAAAAAGATTTTGCTAAAGTATTTTACTTAACCGTTTTTTTATTAACTATTTGATTAGAGTAATAAATGCAAAAATTTGTACTTATTATATACATGTTTAATTCTGTGCGTTCTTTTTTGTGCTTTAACCCCTTTTGTATGTGCGTATGTAACTATGTTATAATAAGGCATTTGCACCAAGTTTGCTGCTTAAGTCTTTTGTTTCTAGCATTTGAATACTTAAAGTATAGCTCTGCTTTATATGTATAATATATACCGCAAAAACTGATCTAGAGAAAGGATATCTATCCCATGCAGATATAGCATTGAAAAGTGTCCAGCCTGAGACAATTAAGTTCATTTGTATCTGAAGACCAACTCGCTCTGTTATAATTCACAGACCTATTCCTACCCCATATTAAGCTCGCGCAGTTGCTTGTGTCATCTTATTATTAACTAGTCCAAGTTTTTTGGCCTAATTTCAGAAACAACTTGAGATTTATATGTTTTCATTCTGATACTGGAAGCGATAGATGCTTAGGACATTTTGTTTCCGGTTTCACTCCTGAATAAGCCCGAAACTAAGTCTCCTGGATTATTACTGTTTGCTCCATTACAAGGTTGAAGCTGTTGTTGTTGCTCCATTATTTTTTTGTGATGTTTTCAAAGATCGTCTGACTGCTCTAACAGAGGTTAAGATTCAAAACGTTGGTCGAAAATTATTTTGATAAGAGCACAATATTTACATTAGCTTAGCAGTTTCATTGCTCGTAAAGAACCATCCATTATTCACGCTAATGGTTTCCATCACTCCTCCTCACTCGGAGGATTTGTACTACATATTTGAGACAAGGTTTGCAAGTCTGAAAAAATGCATTTTTTGTGATTGTTTAAGAGACATTTCATTCAATAAATAAAAGAATATAATGTAAGTATTCAGAATTTAATGTAATAACTGGCGATCCTTGATACAATAGCTGAAGGGGGGAAAAAAGATGTCTTGCAGTAAAGAAGATTTTCTGCTTAAAATTAGACTTTATAGTATTTATTATCTTACTATTGATGAATACGGGTAATGAAGGAAAGACTAGACAAAAATTTATATATATAATATATGAAAAAATAAACCGTGAAATAACGTTTGCTGTCGTCAGCTACATGTTAAGCTTGCAAAAATGCAACTAAATAAATTTGATTGCATTAGAAATATGTTTAAGGTACCATTTACAGCTTTTGTCTTAACGACAGAAGTTTGGCTATATGGTGGAAGGGGCAGAAGTTTACACTCTTAGACTTAATAGCAAAAATATTATTTGACTGTTATTTAACCCTTTGTGACAGTATTATTTTAAATATGTTTGTCATGCTGGTCGGAATTAATTTTCGTTAAAAAAAACAGTAATACACAGTATGCAATATTGTGAAGGAAAAATATTATTTATTAATTCCTTTTGAAACTTAACATACATGTAATATAATAATATGTTTAAATTTATATAAAAATTATATTTTATAGTTATTCATCGTGGGTATCTTTGAAAGCAGCCTCCAAAATGAAGCCCTGGTTTTCGGGAACATGTGTCACAAAAATAATTAGTTTGGCGTCTACCGCCTAAAATTTTTCTGTTTGAACATACGGAACAATCTTTACTTTTTACATCTTCACGGTGTCGCAATATGTGGAATTTGTCATTTAGCCTTTCCTCAAAGGATGATGGTCTCCCCCATGTTTTAAAAATATTTCATTACGAAAATCACCTACAAGTTGTTACGGACAAACATAAAATGTGACATAGTGGTCTCGTTTTCTCTTGTTGCTGACTCCTTAAATAAGAAGTGTATATTGATTGCGCTTATGTTTAAAACCAAGAAAAACCTTTTTCTCCACTATTTACACGATTTTCTCATAAAACAATACGAACATGCATATTGATCAGCTTTACCGAAACATCCAATATTCAAATTGTAGTTTATGATAACTTTTGGTGTGCTAACATAAAAAAGCTTTGGTGACTGAGAGCAAACATACGGTCGGAAAGCGTTGAAAGGATATGTTCAAAAAACTGTGTCAAATCAACTCATATGTTTCATTACTAACTTCATGATGAAGCTCGGCAATTGGATGGAAATAATGCAAAGAAAATAATTCTTTAATGTTTCTCCCCGACACCCTGTCCTCTGGGTAGCCAAAAGACATCCGTTTGAAGGCGAAAGTTAAGGAACGTTTCATTACTCAAATAAAACCAAAACATCTCTTGTTTATGTCGAGCACGCATAAACAAATAGTGATAAGCAATTCCAATATATGGTGTGAAATAGAAATGGTATCACACATAACAAGTGTTATCTCCTACACGCTATTCTCTCGGGGCTGTTTGTAACGACAAACAATTGACTGTAGATAGTGTGTCTATCTTCAAATAACATAGCAGAGAGCAAATAAAAACTAGTACAATAAAGTAGTATAAATAGCACTAAATTATCAAAATGTATTTAGTCTTAGTTTTGTATTAATAAAGGAACTTGCCCTGATGGTGCAGAGTAGATAAAAAAAGTGACTGAATTGTGATTAACTCGAGCTAAAGTGAGAAGGCGAAAAATCTCCTCGACAGGATTGGGCGCTGTGTTTGGGATCCACACCGGATGAGAGACTTTTTTAACTCGGCTATAATCTCGTAAGCGGTGTCCCCAGCAATAAAGAAGAAGACAAATTTTGTTTAAAAATTCCAAATTGTTTGCTACGAAAATTTCACATAAATTCTTCACTAATTAGCTTTTCAATTAACCATTACTTTATACTTTAAAAAGGTATGTACGTAAGTATGTATATATGTGAATATATTTAAGTGTGAGCATTTAAAATATGAAAATTTTACATACTTGTTTATGCTGGAAAAGCCAACTCTTCCATTTGTTGGTCAACCAATTTTCAATTAAGTACGACATTTTCAATATTTAATAAGCGGTTTACAACAACAACAGCGCACATTAATAATACTGTAATGGATCATATCCGCTCAATTTGGCTGTTTTTGCACAACGCTACACACAAACAAAAGCAAATACACAATGCAATACACACACACAACAAAAACTCACGCACAGCGAAAAACCCGTTAAATTGCGCTGCACAAAGTGACATCGGCGCTTGGTGGCGCAAAGGAGATGTGTTAATTTTCGTTTTTTCTTTGTTTTTGTTATTGCAACAAATTAATTTGCGAATTAGCCAGAGTGAAAAATGGCACACAGAGCGCTAAATCAGCGCCAAGCCAACAAAGCGGAAAATGCAACAACACCCAACACACACACACACACACATGCGCAACTACGTGTGCATAAGTGACATAAACAGCGGGAATGCCAGCGGTGTTAAACCGGAAGTGTCACTAGGGGCGGAGAGGAGCGCGGAGGTGCAGCGAAACTGCAGTGGCAGCGCCGGGAAATATGTCAAAAACGTTAGCCGAAAACCGCTAATCAAGTTCACAGGTCACATACCCGAAATGCCGCAGGCCACAACCAACCAACCAACACACACACACACACACACCTCAACATGCATAAATACGCAAAGCACACAACACAAACACACACACACACTGCTGATTGGCCTTGTGTGGTAATTGAAATTTATACGGCTTTTTGTGTGTGTGTTTTGGTATGTGATTTGAAAGTTTCCCGTTAAAACGGCGGAAGCGTCACCACCATTTTGTCGTGTGTTTGTTGTATTTTTTATGCTTTGTTGTTATTCATTTAGCATTTGTTTAGACGTGTAATATTTAGTATAAGTAATGTGCTGTTATGCTTGTTGTTGTTGTATTTATAGACTTTTTACTGGTATTTAGCATGCCAACACGCGCCTGTTAGAAACCACTTCCCGTGAGTGCACCCAATCAATTTTTATTTTAACTAAATAATTTAGTTGAAAAATTGCAAAATTGGTTGTTGAAATTAAATTACATCGTTTTGTGTCTTGCAAAGCGGTAACTATCAGTAATATTAGTTTGTCAATAACGGTCATCGCTCTTACGAATATATTTACTCAATATTAATTTCTACGAAACTCTAAGAAGCTTAGCGCAGATCTTTTGCTTATTTACGAATCTAAATAAAGAAATTTATGTCGAAACTCTTCTAGCAACATGTTGCTATAGAGTATAATAGTTTTGTTCACCTAACGGTTGTACTTACAAGTATTACCTAAAACTAAGCGAGATAGACATAAGGATATATACATATATGTAAATGATCAGGGTGACGAGAAAAGTTGAATTCCGGGTGACTGTCTGACTGTTCGTCCATCCATCTGTCCATGCAAGCTGTAACTTGACAAAAATTGAGATATCTTGATGAAACTTGGAATGCACCGACTGACCGATTTCGACAAAATTTGGTACGCGGCATTCTTTTCATATTCCTATGTCATGTTGTGAAAAATGGGCGAAATCGGACTATAAACACGCCTACTTTACCTATAGCCCAATTTTGAATTTCACTTGATTCCTTCACTTTCCAGTACACAAATCAAGAAGCAATTAATAAAACGGGACTAAACTTTGCGCGAATAATACCTTTAGTGTATACCACCTTTTGATTGAAAATTGTTTAAATCCAACAAAAACTCTTCAGACCCCTAGCTACCGAATATTTGGACCCCAGTCCCCAAATTTGACTTTTGATCGAAAATATCGTAGAATGTCTGAGAATTATAATTGAAGTTTAGGTATAGTACTTCTTTGACAATGGTCTGTCTGGTCTATATTAAAAATGGATTGAATCGGACCAATACTTCTTTTAGTCTAATATAAAGATAAAGGAACTTCTGGTTGACTTTGTACCGCATATATCGGCTAATATGTGAGTTATCTCAATGAAAATGAGAGAGCGGGTTTTACTCATAACAGTGTCTGAATACATGATCTGACTCCAATGGAAGGATGAATCACGTGACATTTTTAATATTTAATAAGTGAAGACAAAACTTTTGTTCTCCTTTTTGAAAAGAATCCACTGTTCAATCTAAGATATGCTAAAATGATTGTGTTTAAAAGGGATTAGGTATATCTTTAAATACAATATGGGATAGATTTCAGATATCAACTTTGCCATACTTTCGAAAACACACACTGAAAAAAGATTGCATTGGACGTAGGAAAGCATCAATAATATTCACAAACTATATAGCCAAGAAAATTACAAATAATTTTTCAAAGAGGTGCACGTTTATGAATGCTTCTCTGCTTATGGATTTGTAACTTTCAGGCGCTTCACAGAAAACCTAAATACTGTGTGAGTAATAAATTTGTGTAAACAGTATTGACTGAAGTCAGTTGAAATGCTCTATGGCAAAAATAAAAATGATTGGATACTGCGGAACGGCAATGATCCGAAACTTACGAACAGAATCTGTGCTCAATGGACGCAAGAAAGCTATATGGTTACCTTAGATTGTCCAGCATAATCTTCAGATGGATATCAATCCAATAGAGAAGCTGGCTTTAAAGAAACCAAAACATCATGAAAATAGTTAAGTTAAGATTTCATTCGGCTACTCAAAAGAAAAAAATGGAAGAACTGTGGAATATGCGGAAAATTTATTTACGAGTTGTCATCAATAATATCAGGCTATAATATCCACCGTGACTGATTGCAGTAAGAATCAGTTAGCTATAACAAAACAATGTATCTCTATAATGAGAAAGAATAAACGCTACCTACACTTAGGGAAACTAAAACTTAACTTTTGTATACTAAATAATTGATCAGCGCGTAGAATTGATTTAGCCATGGCCATCTGTCTATCGGTCTGCATAAAGGCGAACTAGTCTTGTAATGTCGCTGTGAAGTTTTTTCCATGCCCTTTTCTCTCCAAAAAGCACTACTAAGCCAACGCTACAAGCTCCGATAAACTGTTCAGATCGGATAAAAATCAAGATAAGGACCTTCATAAAAAATATATTTTTTTTTCTTGTTAAGTGACTGATCAATCCGAATGATGGTTGTTTAATACACCTCATGTTTTTTTTTTTAACTTCATAAATTAAACTCTTCTTCTTCACATAAGCAACAAAGCAGCTTTCAATAAAAAGTTTGAATAATCCTCGTGCCAAGTAGCCGCTTCATAAACCACACTTTCTGTGTAGAAAAACGAAACGCTCTAAATCTGACAGAGAAAGGCACGCAACACACCTCAGCCAACGCAATTTGCATACGAAATTGCCCAGATGTGCGTACAATAAAGAATACTGCCTTTTTTCGTATAGGCAGGTGTGTCTTAGATATTGAATTTCGGCGTTAAGGTGTTCGAAAATCAACCAAGTATATTTAAGTGTTTTTGAATCGGCCTCCTTTAAGCTGATAAGTATGTAGTGAGCATAATTAGTTTTATTACACTTTCAACTTTCGGCTGACAGCTCGGCCGTCGGATTCGGGTGCAGGTGCTGCTGCAATTCTGCCCTTTTCCGACAGTCAGCGGTGCGACCAAAAAAGTTACACAACACATCAACACGATTGACAGTTTGACATGCGTCGGGCAATACATACATAGGTACAGCTACTTAGGTGAAGTTGCGCCGAAGCCAAATTATAAACACATTCTTGCAGAGGCTGCACTGACCGATGCGTGCTTTCAACAAATTAGATGAGCAACAACAAAAGCGAGGCGGTGAAGTGGTCGGGTGTTAAATATCAAACGCCAATATGTCACGTGACCGAAATTGCGTACATTGACCTCAAAATTGCAATAATAATCAGAGTTACGTAAAGATATATTAATTTTTCCAAATCGGTCAATATTTGTAAATAAATATATGTATGTCTAATGTATCTGCATAAGAACATTCGAACATTTTGTACCAAAAGCCGCTTGAAACAACCTAACCTGCTCGAAAGAGTTAATGCCTATAAGCTTAACTTTCTTTCCGCTTAAAAAGTTAGAGCGGCACATTAGGGCCGCATCGACTCTTAAAAGCTTGTCCAAGGCGCGACACGCATATACGAAAGACAGAACAGTAGAGACTGCACTCCATAGACTGGTATTTAATGGCGAAAGGACTGTAGAATATAAGAAATACGATTTTGGAGCATTCCTGCACATTTCTGGAGCATTCAACAACTTTTCTACGGATTCTATTCTGAAGAGTATCCATTCAATAGGTGTTCATCCTGCTATACAATGTTGGATCAGAAGCCTTTTGACTTCTAGAAGGATAAGAGCAGGAATGGGACGACGTTAGATTGACCAAAGAAGTCTGCAGAGGTACTCCACAAAGTGGAGTGCTATCTACGGTTCTATGGCAATTAGTGGTGAATAAACTGCTAAGAAACTTAGGTGGCATATGCGGACGACATTGCCAACTCAATAACTGATAGGTGTCTACAGACCATCACCGCTCTCAATACAGTCCAGAATTGGGCATCGCAAGCGGATGTGAGGACAAGACAAGAAAGCACAAAATTCTTCTGTGGAGGTTCCCTTCGATAAATGGGACATAACTCTCTCAAGGACCACACCAAGTACCTTAGGGCCGTCTTGGACAGCGAAATTCTGTAAAAGCACAAGAAGTACTAAATCTGCAACCCCAGACCTCTTCGCTGAAAACTGCGCAGCAAAATCGACGAGACGACTCTTGGCTCGATGGAGGGGATAGATTTGGTGCGTGGATATACTGTCCAGAGTTAAGCATAAGACAACTTTTTAGTTGCCGGATCACTACAGTATATTTCAAGCTGAGGTCCTTGCCATTGCCAAAGCCTCGGAGACACCCAAGCAGCAATCAAGGCAGGTAACCTTGTATCGCATATCGGCCAGA